GAGGTTCAGCTGAGCGAAAGTGGAAAGCTTCATTGACAATGATTTTAGAAGTCAGTATTGAACAGTTAATTTGGCATTATACAACTGACCATACTCATTCAGCTGATCTGAAGGAAAACCACAAGTCCTTGGAGAAACAGTATCTCATTGTCCCAAGAAATGGATGAGTAAGGGAGCGAGCTGGTATCTGAGTAAGACAACTTATTTTATTATTTCCCACACTGAATAGTAATCAGTCCTTTCCAACCAGGAAGTCAATGTTTCCAAAAAATTGTTAACTAAAGAAACTGCTTCTGTCTGCAGCTGATATTTTGGCCCAGTTTTCTCAGCCATCCTGTGAGTCTATATTTTACAGTTAGGATTTTGAAAAGGACTCTGAGTCTATGCACAGACATAGGCAAAGAAACCTGCTGATGAGTATTGTCAGATGCACTTTAGCACAGGAATGAGTTAACTGGATACTCATAGCACTGACTGCTACTGAGATTGTACCTAGAAGAGATTCTTTTAACTGCTCTCATCATTATAAAAATATATTTCCAGTAACCCCCTTTAAATGGAAAAATAGGAATTCTCTTTTGAGAAAAAACCCTCACTAAAAAAAGAAGGTCCAAGCTCTCAACCTAATGGCCTTAAGCTGCACTGCACCCATATCTACTCCTGCTCCAGCTCAGGGATAAAAATTAGATCAGAGTTTCTGTGCACACACTCAATTGAATAATCAATTTCAGAGCAGACAGTTGTGAATGGGAATGAAGGGGACTGGACTTTTTTTACTGCTGAAGTGAGTGCCAGAATAACTCACTGGGAAAGTGAAACAGCATTTCCACCGAAGAGGCATTTCAAAGGGAAACCTGGAAATGCAATTGGAGGTTGTTATTACATTAAGACCTTGGTTAGTTATTTAAGGCGCTGAGATACTTAAACGTCCCCAAAGAATCAAAGTCTTTGCCTAATGAGAATATCCGGTCTTTAAAGGTTCTCTCAGTTTGTCACTAGATGTCAGCCTGCACCTTCAGGTCCCTACCCTTCTATAACCAAGAGCACCTCTCCACCTGCTCCCCCCCAGGAATATGTAACAGAAGGAGACCAAGCATGAAAATCTTGTCAAGAATTCAGTAAGTATTGTTTTGTATCCTTCAGCAATGTTTATTTTAGTACATGAAAAGATGATTGTTACAAACTAAGACATGGACATTTGTAGGAAACAGAGTTTTTGAAGAGTGTTGTTGTCATTACTTATGAAACCCCGGGATACTAGGTAGGATTTGTTGTTGTTGAGCTGGAATGATCCTCTGCTGAGGCCACACACCCTATGCAAACAGAGCAACTGTACCTTCTGCCAAGACCTAGGCTGGTGCCCCTGCCCATGGAACACACAGCACAGATTTCCTGCTGTTGGCTGGGACTCACGGCCGTGGTGAAGCAGAATTTCTCTCTGCTCATGCACTACTGCTCTTTGGCTGTGCACTGACCTGCACAGCCTGGGCTGCTGGTCTGGCCTAAATCAGCATTTGGCCAAGTGTGAATGTGTTGTGCCTCTTTTTTTTGAAACAGCAGATCTGTGACTTACACTGGGTGGATCAGTGGCTTGTGAGAGAGCTGCCCACTAATTTCATTGCCCAGTCCCTACACACTCTCATGGTATTTTCATGTTTGGGTGATTTGCCAAATGGGAAGTTTTTATGTCTCTAGTGATCAGACACCTGGGGTTTCCTCTGACAATGGTACATTGGCACTCTGAGCTAACTATGTGTTTGTTCCGAACACCACCCATTTTATTTACTGTATTGTTTACCTGGCACAAAATTATGTCTACAAGGACATCCACAAAAGCACGAGTTTTGCCATGCAGAGCACCACAGAGGCTGTCTTTCAGGCAGCTTGCTATCTACTGAAATTCATAGTTACACTTCAGACACTTGGAAAGCTGTTTATTTAATGCACAAGAACAGTTAAACATCAGATAGGGAAAAAAATTCCCAGCAAGTTAAGCAAGAAATTACACTGTTCAAAAGCAAACAGTAAGAAGAGCGTCTGTCTGTGAGATTCTTCCCACGTCCTTATTTTAGATACTTTCTCCTGGCCTACAGAAACATGATTATCTCTTTGAACTCTGGACTTAAGAGCTCGTGGTATCCTTTTCTCATACAACTATGCAACTTTTTTCACCTGCAACAAGACATTACGGGTTTTCTCCCAGATCAGAAATGCAGTTTTTTGCAAATCCTTTAGCACATTAAGTGGCTTTACCAGCAGGTCCAGAAAGACCGCAGGTTCCTGGATAGCATACTGGAACTTTAATTGAAACAGGACCTGGGAGGAAGTTAACCACTGTCCTTGGGAAGGGGAGACATAGAACCCAGATCTGGATCCAATTCCTCTTCTGTATTTGCTGAAAAAAATCTCTCCACAATTTCTCTTTGGAGATTATACCCTAACCACTATGCTGCCAAGCAGAGTTTGAGGGCTTTCGTTGCCATTAGGATCCAGCAACAGTGAGCAACTCAGGCAACAGGGAACTGTTTCAAGCCAGAGAATATGAGCACGTTCACAAAGCGGCCCAGAGATTCAGCCATTCCCCTGGGATGTGGAAAAAGGGAACTGAATCTCTCAGGCTGTGGGGGACAGCTGTGACCACAATTTAGCATTTCACAAGGGAGGGGAGAGGAGCATAATCTGCACATACATTGAAGCTGGAACAGAAGCAGCACATCCAGGCACAGATTCAAAGGGATGGGGGGAATGAGTTGAGTTCACAGCCGCTTCTGACTTAGCGTGGCCTGGCACAGGGTCTTCTGTGTTGGGATGCTCCCTCACAGCATACACTGTGGCCAGTCCCGACAGAGATATCCCCATTAAGCACAGAAATAAGTGCTACAGAATTAAGCAGATTTAGGCATGCTCAGGAACAAGTTTCTAGGCACAAAAATTTTACTAGAAAAAACTTGAATACCTACAGACTTCACTGGTCAACCAAGTCAGGATTTAGGAGGTTAGATAGGCAGATGTACAGTACTTAGATGCTCAAGTTCTTCTGTGGATATGTCTGATTTCTTCGGAGTCTTTGCATCTGTGTAAGTATGCCCATCAGCCACCAGCTCACTTCTGCTGCTCTTCAGACAACTTGCAAATCAGTATCTTCCCCATTAGCAAATGCCCAAGGCTGGAGAAGTCTTTTCTGCCTTGAAAAATAAGATAGCTTTTCCTTGCAAGTAGCAGAACCAGCTGCTTTCAGACCAAACACAAATTTTATAACAGGAGTTACCAACACGTACAGTACCCGTAACAGAGTCTGAAAAGTGTGATTGCCACTATGGTCTAGCAGTTTTCTCTGGACAGAAATAGCAAGTTTTCTCCATGTCAGTACTTAGAAGTGACAAACAACCCTCTGCCTTTTTACAATCAGCAGATGCTGGAGTTAGACTGCAAGGAAAGGGGTTGGAAATAGAAAACAGTTTCAAAAATTGTATTTAAATAATCATCTTATATGCAGTATTAGGGATCAATGAACTTGTTCTCTGAAACCAAAACCAGGAATGTTGCACTTTTCCATCATTTAAAACAAATACTTTGATCTTTTGATTTCAATTTTTTCCCTCATAATTAAAAAAAATATTTTAAGAAGTAGATATATAGCCTCATCATAAAAACTTTCACAGCTTAAAAATACACTTTTTTCATCCCCCTAAAAAGTTCAATTCAGATAAGCCTCAAATTATTTCCCAGGCATTTCTGTGGAACAGAGGCTGGTAAAGGCCAATCCCTGACATTCTCCAGGCCACAAAAGCACTGCAGGCCCTAGGGCTGCTCAGACTAGAGGAACTGAACTGAACTCCTCTGAAACACTGGCAAGAGTCAGTGCAAACCCTCAGCAGAACTAAAGCCTTTGTGCTTGGTTTTGAGTGAACCCAGAAGTATCCCAGAGCAAGTGATTTGAAGTGGCTAGGAGTGTTTCTTTTTTCCCCTTTTTTAAAAATTTTATTTACATTTGTGCTGATTTCCTGAAGTGAAATATGAACAGTCTGAAGTGCAGTAAAAATTAAGCCTGCAACCTCAGTGTCCTGGGAGAGATGCTGTCTTGCTACACATGGTCTGGGGCTGTGAGGTTTCCTTTCCCCTCAGTGGCCTGGAGAGAGGCTGGGGATCAGTATTAGGGGGCTCACACCCTCCCTCCAAACCCAGGCAAAGGAACACCCCATGAAGATGCAAATTCCATCCTTGGGTTTCTCCTTGGCTGTCTGGGTTGTTTTATACTCTGGCAGCAGCTGGCGGGATGGGGTGTAGCTAGAAAAGCAGATCCTGCACTGATCTGGAGGGGAGCACAGTGTTCCTTGTCCCTGCTCTTTCCCAAGTCCCTAAAAGAGGGGAAAGGTGCCAAGCCTGAACAAGCAGGAGCTTTGTACCCACTTGTCCCGGCTGTTCCACTCAGGGTAGGTTTGCAATAGAAGAGAGGCTGTCTGATCCCTGAGCCCTCAGTGGAGCCCAGGAAGCAGTGACCAGTCAGGCCTGCACCAATTACAGGGTCCTGCAGCAGGGAGAAAGCAGCTCAGCTCCCTCTCCCTGCCACAGACAAACACATAAGGTGGGAGGGCTGCCTGCAACTCCAGCTTGAGGGGACGTGGCCGAGGCCTTCCAGCTTCAGTCCACCCCACCCAGCCCCTCACCTCTCTGTGCTGCTTTGCACATCCTGCATCCTCCCTGGTTGGAGTCCCATCACCCTCATTAGTCCTAGTTCCCCAGCACAGGTAGAAGCACTAAAAGGCATCTCATAGAGACACCCCACCACTACCTCCTCCTAGTCCTGTTCTCCAGCTCAGGGTGCATCTTCCAGAAAACAAAGTCCATCAAGTGTCTCCGAGGGCAGACAAAACCGCAAAAGAGCATCTCTCACACAGAAGTCCTCCTTTACTCATCCCTCCTCCTCTTGTCCTGACCAGGCATTCAATATCCCCAGGCTACATCGGGCACTGTGCCACCCCCCAGAGCCCCCTGCCATCTCAGCAGTGCTGCTCCCTGGAGCTGGCAGGCAGTAGGTCGTAGCGGCTGCTGTACATCACCACCCCAGGGGGATAATAGGCCACCTCTGCCTGGACAGCTGCAGCACGGGGAGCAGCAGGGACAGGGTGGACAGGCATCATGGCATGCAGGGCCTGCTCCTCCTTCTCAGGCTTGGTGGTGTCAGTGAAAGGGCGCATGGTAGTGAGGGAAGGTGAGGTGATCCTCCAGAGGAGGTTCTTCAGTGCCTTGCGGAACTCCCTGCGCATGAGGCAGTAGAGGATGGGATTGAGGCAGCTGTTGGAGTGTGCCAGACACACGCTGATGGGGAAGAGGTACACTTGGGAGAGAAAGTACTCGTTACTGAAGTGCACCACGTTGAGTTTGATGAGTATCCCCCAGGTTGTAAGTGCTTGGTTAGGCAGCCAGCACAAGAAGAAAGACAGCACCACGATGGACACTGACCTAGTCACTTTGGAGCGACGCTTGATGCTGGGGCCACTGCAGGTGCTGCCCACGTGCTTTTCACTGATGAAGCGCACCAGGAGCAAGTAGCAGAGACTAATGACGACCAGCGGCACCAGAAAGCCCAGCAGCACCTTCTGGATGTGGTACAGACCCAGCCAGAATTGGGCATTGTTGCCTCGGCCCTCTGGGAACTTGACAAGACAGAGAACATCATCAAAGACAGTGGCAGTGGTGGAAAAAATGGCATGGGGCAGGGAAGCCAGGACAGCTGACAGCCAGATGAGTGCACAAAGCCACTTGGCAGAGCAGCAGCCACCCAACGGGTCCCCTCGACGCTGATTCTTCAAGGCTGAAGCCACAGAGCGGTATCGAGCCACACTCATGGCAGTGAGAAAGAACACACTGGCATACATGTTCATTGCTGTCACATAGGAGACGATCTTACACATTGCCTTGCCAAAGAGCCAGTTGAAGTCCAGCGCGTTCTCCACTGCCCAGAATGGCAAGGTCAGCACAAACTGGAAGTCAGTCACTGCCAGGCTGGTGACAAAGAGATTGATGGAGGATTTCCTCCAGCCTTGCTTGCTTTTCATCAGGTAGAGCACCAGCAGGTTGCCCACCAGTCCCAGGGCACACACCACGGAGTACACCAGCGAGATGACAATACGCACCACGTCAGAACTGTCCCCCTGCATGCCGTCGGCTCGCTCCAGGTTGATGGTCTTCAAGAACTGCAGGAAGGACACGTTGCTCCCGTTGTCCATCTGAGCGCTCTCCAGGAAACCCAGCGGCGTGTCCCAGGACTCCCTGTCCGCTCCTTCCTTTATGCCAGGGGCTGGCGAGCAGGCACCGCGCTGGCAGGGCTCGCCCATCCCATGCTAGGGTGGGAGACGGGTCCGCGGGAGCTTTTACCCCAGAGGCTGACCGGCGGCGGCGGGCCGGTTGCTGGGGCAGCGGCAGGGTGCGGGCACGGCGCGGTGCCGGGGCTGTGCGGTGCCGGGGCTGCGCGGTGCCGGGGCTGCGCGGTGCCGGGGCTGTGCGGTGCCGGGGCTGCGCGGTGGCACGGCTGGCGCCGCTCGGCTCCGCGCCCGCTTTTATCCTCGCCGGCGGGGCGGGGCATGCGCGGTGGGCGCGGAGCTCTCCCCGGTGCTGAGCGCGACCGCCGCGCCCCCGCGCCCCGCTGCCCCCACGGCTGTTCCCGCGGATCGCCCCCGTCCCGTTCCGTCCCGAACCGTCCCGTTCCATCCCGTCCCGAACCGTTCCGTCCCGTCCCGTCCCGTCCCGTCCCGTCCCGTCCCGCACACCTGCCCGGGAACCGCTCGGGTGAATCAACCGGGCGCTCCCTCGGGCTCAGTGCGGCAATTGCCCGGCCAGAGGTGATGTACTCTTCCCCCCGCCGCTGTCAGGGTCCCTTCCCCTATATGATCGCCCATCTCCTGATGTGATCCCCACTCCCCCGATGTGCTCTCCTCTCCTCTCCTCTCCCCGATGTGATGCACCCAGTCCCGCTACGATTCCCCTCCCCGATGCGGTCCCCGTGGATCAGCTCTCACAGAACCCTTCCCCTCCTGCGTGGGGACAAGTTTTGGGGATGCCGCACCTTCGCCAAGCCGCAGGATGACCCGGGAACCACCCGCGCTTTCTCGCTTGAGAAACCTCGGCACCGGGCCGGACCGCGCCTCCCCTGAATGACCGCACTCCGGACAGGGACCCACGAACGCCCCCCCTGCTTTTGGGACTTCAGGAGACGGTGTCTGTCCCTCATTTTAAAGCGAACGGCACGGACAGCGAAGCTGTAAATGCGGGCTGTCGCTGCAGCGCTCGGGCGAAGGCGGGAGCCGCAGCCGCCGCTTCCCCGGCGGCAGAGGAATCCCGCCCGCAGGGGGCCCCCCTGCCTTGCGCGGGGCCGAAAATCGCTTCCCACCAAGCCTGCCGCAGAAACAGACAGCAACCGACGGGAATAGGAACTCAGGTTTCCTTCTTCTGTTCCGCTTCTAAATAAATCAAGATCACTGCGCATTTTTAAAACCAAATAAATTCTGAATATACCTAAGTAAAGCACTGCGAATCAGCCATCTGGGGGAGATTTACGGAACATTTAACAAGTACGTTATTTTCCCATTGATTTATCTCACTGAACTTCCTGCAAAGACATAGTCTTGTGTGCTATTTGTTATCAGCAGTCCACTCATCACTTTGATTTGTATCTGCAGGGACCCTGTAAAAGTACGGGCCAGATGATGGTATGGCGGTGTTAAAGGCGAACAAGAGTAATTAGAAACTTTATACATCATTCATATTGCTTATAGTGAGGGTGCAATTTACTGGAATTAGCAATGCAAGGCTCTGGGAAGGTTTTGTCTGCAGATTACTTGGTATAATAAATAGCTTGGTGAAAAAGAGAACGATTTGGATCTTCAGAACACCGGCCACATCAGGCCTCAAAAAATGGGCTCCTGACATTTTTTCCTGTCATGGTTTAACCCCAGCCAGCAGTCAAACCCCTTGCAGTCACACATTCACTTACCCACCAGCAGAACTGGGCAGAGAATTGGAAGGGTAAAAGCTGGAAAACTCGAGGGTTGAGATGAAGACAGTTTAATAGGGAAAGCAGAAGCCACACTTGCAAGCAAAACAAAACAAGGAGTTAATTCATCACTTCCCATGGGCAGGCAGGAGTTCAGCGCCCATCACATCTAAGTGTCACTTGGGAAGACAAATGTCATCATGGGAAACATGATGACATTCCTCTTCTTCCCTCCACTTTATATCCTGAAGGTGATGTCACACGGTCTGGAATATGCCTCTGGTCAGTTGGGGTCACCTTTCCCGGCTGTGTCTCCTCCCGCTCTCCCAAGCCCCCCCAGCTTCCCCGCCAGCGTGGCAGTCTGAGGAGCAGAAAAGGCTTTGGCTCTGTGTAAGCTCTGCTCAGCAGTAACTAAAACATCTCTGTTATCATCACTGCGTTCAGCATAAAGCCAAAACATAGCTCCACACCAGCCCCTTTGAGGAAAATTAACTTCATCCCAACCAAATCCAGCACATCTTCACAATTTTTCCAAATTATGGATTTTTTTCCCTAGGTTTTCATACCTATTAATCACTGACTAGGGTTGCATCTGGGTGGCATTTTCAATACACAGCATTAAGATGCATCTCTCAACCTGCTGAATGGCAGCAGTTTTCCAAATTCTTTCAACCAGAGGAAATCATCCTTGCAGTGAAATTCAACGACCCCATTAGTCCCATCAGTGCTGCACAGTCGACTGTAAAACAGCACATGCAGAAGAGAAAGCCACTGATTCCTTAAAACCAGCAGAAGAACCATCATATAAACAAGCAATGTGAAAATGCTGAGTTTCAGCCAGACCTGCAGATGTTCTGTAAACAGTGCAGAGAGTGAGGTGTCTCCCAGCCCACAGCAGCAATGACTGCCTTAGCACTAGGGTCAGCACTTACCCAAAACCAAGGTTAGTAAAACATTTGAAATAAGCAAGTTCTTGTTCAATTTCCCCTCTCCACTTAGCCCTGCTACTATTATAGCCCCCAAAGAAAAAAACAATATGTAATCAAGACAGAGACTTGATAAATTATTAGTGAGGTTGATAGTACAGAAGTAGACTTTTTCTAGATTCAATTCTAACCTATTCTCATCATGTTGCTATCTTCACACCCAATTTTAAATATGTCACTGGAAAAATTGCAGCAAACATGTCTTGCATAGAATAATTTCTTCTACCATTTCTTCTGTTTGGCACATCTTGCTGATTATATTGCTGAGACTGAACAGTCATAATGATTCAGAAAGGGGAAGAGGAGGAAAATAATGTCCAACCTTATATTGCTTTTTCTGTTAGTCACCCAGAGAAGCAAAGGAGTGTGAAGTTTGGTACCTCCTGGGAACACCTGGTAGTGGATTTTGAACTCAGGTCTGCAAGTGTGAAATGATTGTCCAAGGTTTTTACTCATGTTTACACCCCAGAAAAATTCCTTTTTAGTCCTGGGTGGTTTTTCTTTTGTCATTCTTCATTTCGGAGACATTTTAGAGGTAGGTAAGGGAACTTGCAACACCTCGATTAATAATAAAAGAAGTATTTGCTGAATGATTTATTTAGCACACTGCCAGAACACTGCCATAGCTGAAAAAATGTTAAAAAAAGCCATCAGCTAGTTTCAAAAAGTATTGGAAAACTCATCAGATACAATCACAAGGACTGTTGTCCTGGAAGACACTGTTGTCTGCTTGTTCCCTATTCATTCCACCCATGCTGCCAAAGCTGTGTTGCAACTTTCCAGAGCCTTCTTTTTATCCAAGTGTCAATGTCTGTATTACTTACTCAAAATTTCTGAAAATTCTAATAAACTTGACAGGCAGAGGCTTCCATGATACACTCTGGCAATAACAGTGAAAAAATGGCAGATTTGTGTATTTTGTTAATCTCAAGCAAATCAGGCAGAGGCTCTTTTTTGCATATATGTAGTACTATGCTAAAATAATCCACAGGGCTGAGATTCCTAGTTTGCCTGCAGGCAGCATCAATCAGTACACTAGACTTAAAAAGGCTTTCAGTTCTTCAGACCACCAACAGAAACTGCCCACTGGTTTTGACTATATTGTGTCAGTGTCCTGCAGGTGTTTCTCAAATAGCATTAAAAAATGTTTTATTTTAATATGCCAAATAAACATTTGCTGAAATTGTAATTTTCCTACAATTTACCCCAAAGAATTCCTATAATTTTTCACTCCCTTTACAGACCTCATACATAAACAAAAGATTTATTATAATTACAACAGTGACTGAACCAGCTGTATGCTCCTCTGAAATATTTTGGCAAGAGAGATGGTGTTCTGTTTTCAATATGAAAGGCATTTTTGTAGCTTAAAGCAGATTTTAAAAATATTGAATGTATCACTAAATACAGAAAAATGGGACTATTTCTCAGGATATTTTTGTAGTAGTAAGAGATTTTAAATTTCTTTTTCATATTTGACACACAAAAAGCAAAAATTAGTAATAGTAAAGCTCTAGAACAGATTTTATTAAGAAGATTTACTAGTGTGTGTGTGGCTTAAATGGGCTTTACATTATTTAAATGTTGCATTCTTGCAATTGAATTCTGTTTAATGAATAACTCTTTTTATGGCATCCTGTCTCAAAATTCTGGATCAGGAGAAGGAAACTAGAAAACAGGAAAGGGATATTTCAAGTTTGCTTAGTTCTTCAGTTCTAATTTCTGGAACTGATATGGTCTCTTCTTTTTATGAGCTCAGGGCTACAATCTCATCCTTCTGACCAAATTCAGACAGTAACTGTTAACAGTTTCAGTTCCAGTTTCAACTGGGTTTTACAACTTCACCTTCTCCATCCTGAGAGTGAGCTTGGTGTGACTTGGTATGTGTCCACCATGGGAAGATTTTCATGGCAATTCTTCTCTTAAAGTATAGTAGGAAATGGATAAAGGCTTTCATTACAAAATCTCAGAAAACACAATGATCATACCACAATTCATGGACCACAGACATATCCTCCAGAAAGTATTATTTGGACACAGAAATAGGTTTCAGTAAAAACAGAACAGACCAAAACAAAACCCCTAAAAATACCCCAAAACCAAATAAATAACCTCCCAAAAACTTTGATTATGTTCATCATTCTCTCATAATTTACTTTCTAGGCAGACTACTGAGAATATATTTTCTGGGCACTAACTTTCTTAAAAAGGTAATTCAAACTGACCTGTTGCTGCAGAAACATGCTTTTATTTGGTCAATATGGATAGCATGACCAATTAGTTTATAAACTCACATGGTGCAAGCATGAAATTATAATTTTGTGAATTAGCTCAGTAGTCATAAAAGACAATCCATATTTGAAGACTGACTAAAAATCTGAGTGTGAGCATACAAAAAATTTCATGTTAAAGAATCAGTGACTACTTAGAGTTTGCTTCATTCTCTTGCTTAAATCTGCCCACAGACATACCAGAAGTAGAATGTCAGCAAATACTATTTTTTTTTTTTTTGCAAGAGTAACTTATGAAATTCCAAAAATCTGTAACAATTATAATGAAATGGGAGTTGAGAGATTCAACAGGATCTCTGGCTCAATCACCAACTGTTAGGTATTTTAAGAGGCTGCATCTCTAATGAGAAACTGGGAATAAGATTAAAGATTAAAAAAAAATATTCACAAACTTCTTTATAAATCTGGCAGAGAAATAATACATCAACAGTGGCAATTACCCAGCAAACTCCACAGGGTCCTTGGTATTCAGAGTCATTCCCTTTTAGTTCATCTCCCTGCCAACAGCCACAGCATCAGAGAATCACAGAATAGTCTAAGCCCACCACACCATGTGTGATCCATGTTGTTACCATTTCTAGTACAAGCAAACTGTTAAGCTGCCAGGATAGTTAGCAGTCAGGTCTGGACAGTGTTTCACCTTGGATGTGACAGACAAGGATGTGTTATACTCCAGAGGTATCTCCTCTCCCTGTCAACTGCAGAAGCAGAGCAAGTGTGTATTTTATAATTTTGTATCTTTAAATTTAAATTTTGAGCAGGAGACTCTCATTCCTAGTAAAGCAAAATTTCCTTGCATGTCTGTCTTTGCATGGACTTCATTTTGTAGCAATTCTTTTATGTCAAACAATATAATTTGTGTTTTAGTTCCTCACTGCTCAGAACTTCTGCTTTTCTGGCTCTGTAAACATTTCTACATACATATAAATTGCAATACATAAATTTCTTTTATGTCTGTCCTGGAAGTCTACTTAAATTTACAAGAGTTCAGTATTATTTCTGGTTTGTCAGTCCAGGATTGATTGTGTTTCATTGTGACCTTTCACTAAATGTACAGGCTTTTCTGAGTGGAGCTGCACCTACTGAACTGCAACAACTTTGTTGCCAGAAGAACACAGCTGATGTGGAGATATATTCTTTTTCTTTTCATAACTGAGGTTGAGTTAGCAAAAACAACTCACTTTCTTTCAAAAGAAACCTCCAAAACCTCAGGTTATGCTTCTTTGGAACAGGAAACCACTGGGAAGACACAGTGTCATAAATTCTGTTCACTTAAAATGGCCTTAGTACGTACTCACATGAGGTGAGTGCTTTCTACTTGTGCCATTGCTTCACATCTTGACGGTTTTTAGCTGGGATAGATGTAGTTTTCTCCTTAGCAGCTGGTACGGTGCTGTGTTTTGGACACTGTGTCAGCTACAGCAACAGCATCCCTGAAGCAGGAACCCTACTGTCCTCCGGGGTATTTTCTGACACTACACCCAGTGAATCATTTTTTTCTGTGTATGTGCATGCTGGCATAAAGCCCAGAAAATTATGGATGTCTCAGACCAGATTCCCACAGCTCCTTCTCCACTCTGTATGACTTTTCGATTACAAATTTTTGTCATTAAAAAAATATAAAAAATCAAATAAAAACAAAACTCATTCCCACAAACTCTCTTGAGCTTTTAGTTCTCCACCACTTCCAGGGTTGGGCAGAATTACAGGCAACAGGAATTAAGTTTTTCTGCTGAGGAAGAAACCAAGATGGAATCCTGCAGGAAATACTAGTTGCTTCCCATCCGATTCACCTAGCAGTGAACACATAGCTAAAGAGATGACTGAAAATGGAAGCAAATAGTTAAATGTCTCTCACAGAATGGTTATTTTTCTGATGGTTATTTTATCTGATGTTAAACCAGTATTTTGTAAACATATGCCCATCCCTTGAACTGTCATACCTTCTTTCCACTGCTCCTAGCCTGCTGTCCTCATTTTACAGTACTTTTCCTTTTTATTTCATTTGGTGGAGATACTTCCTTATTCGCCAACTGAATTATTTTAAAATATAAATGTCAAATTGTGTGGCTTTTTCTATGCAACAACTGTCAAGTGTTTTTTAGATGTTAAATATAATATATATAATATCAATTTCAGGTCACACTTAGCTTTAAATTAATTTCAGGCAAGTAATGATAAAGAGCTAAGCCTCATGCTCAGTCTCATAAAATAGCCTCATGCCCCCTGTGTGACTAGACTAAGAATCATAATGGCAAGAACACCAGAAAACTTGTCACTGTAACAGATGAGATAATATTATTTGTGTGCAGAATATATGGACAGACATATTGAAATAAATACTTGCAATTAACAAATCTTCTCTTAGCAAGTACTGTTGGGTATCAAATAAACCATATCAGATATCAAATATTCCTTTTGCATGGTCTGTGTCCTTCCACTAATTAGAAGAGAGCACATGATGATTCCTAAATCAATTATCACTCATATAAATATGTCCATTTCCAGAGTTACCTGTCTGAGTTCTGGGGGTAGTCACACTTTTTACTGGTTTAGAAAACCTTTTTTTGCATTTTTGTGCTCTGGAGTCTGGAGTTCACAGTTCTTACAGCTAAGGCAGTTGAACTGCGGCAGCCATTCATCTTGGGAAAACTGAGCAGAGAAACAAGCATAATTAAGCACAGATTGCTATGAAAGTATACAGGAAGTCCGTGGTGGAGTCAACTTTAATCAGGAGGCCATCAAAGCAGATGAGGAACCCAGCCCAGGTCAAAAGCATGGGATAGCACCAAAGTGTGCACCCACCCGTCGATCCTTGGCCCAGCAGTAACCATAGCAGATGCTAGATGAAGAGGAGACTTGGCAGAGAGCACATGGCATGCACTTAAAAAAGTAGATGCCAAGGTTATTTAGGCATTTTTTGTTGATAGGGAGGACATTCAGAATAACCCCAATGTGCCAGTACACTGCTAAACACAGAACAGTCTCAGCACCCTGATGAGTCTTAACCTGCTTCAGGGGAGGTTTAGGCTAGATATTAGGAAGAATTTTTTCACAAAGTAGGATGATTAGACTTTGGCATGAACTGCCCAGGGAAGTGGTCAAGTCGGCATCCCTGGAGGTGTTTAAGGAAGCACTGGATGTGGCTTTTCCTACCATGGTCTAGTTGACATTTTGATATTCAGACCGCAGGTTCGACTCAATGTTCACAGGTCTTTTCCAGCCTGACTGACTCTGTGATTCTGTCAGGCAGCCTGGAAACTGGGCTCTGGCTGCTGGGCCCCGAGGGGCCATGGGCTACGGGATCCTTCAGCCGGGGAAGCCCCCGCATCCCCTCCCGCCGCATCAGAACGTGCTGGACAACGGGTCAAACTCCCGCGTAACTCCAACACTTTCTCCCGCGGCGGGGGAACCTCTGCCAGGGCCTGTGCGGGGCTGCGAGGCGCCCTGCCCCGGTCCCTCGGGGGAGACCACCGAGGGAGAGGATGCTGTCTTGTGCTCGGCCCTCCCCGAGGGCTGCCGGGGCGAACGCCCCGCTTCGGCCGCGGTGGAGGGCGGAGAGGGGCGGCAGTCCCCGTTGGCGGCCTCGCCTCTCCTCCCTCCCCGCGGGCCCGGCCCGGTTCGTCCCGCCGCGTTAACCCCGGCGGCTCCGAGGCGGGGGCTCCCGGGCGCTGCTCCCTCCCCACAGCCCTCCTTCCTCCGCCGGCAGAAACCAGACACCGGGACGGCCCCGCGCAGCCCTTGTGCGGAGCGGCGCCTGTGTCCGGCGGCGCCGGGAGCGGCCCGGCCATGCCGCGGCCCCGGTAGGCGCCCCGCTCGCAGCTCCCCGCCCGCACCATGCCATGTGTGCCGCGGAGCCGGGCGGCACGCGTGCTCTCCCTCTGGCTCCTCGTCCTCCACACCCAAGCGCCCTGCCTGGGCAGGGCCCCGCCGGCCGGCAGCTCCCCGTTCCCCGACGGCGGGCAAGGTCAGTGGCGGCGGGCGGGCGGGACGGGGCGCGGCGGGGAGCGGGTTCCGCCGAGGGTGCGCTGCCAGCCGGAGCAGCGCGGCTCCGGGGCGCTGCTCGGGCGGGAGGGGCGGCCAGCCGGGCTGTGTCGGGCCCCGGAGCTGCCCGGGCGCCCTCCCAGCGCTGCCCTCAGCGCTGCCGGGACGCGCGGCTCCGCGCCCGGGGCACAGCGCTCTGGCCGCGCCTTCCTGCGGCAGTCATCGAGTTTGGCTGTGTGGCGATGAAGGTGTTGCTAAACCCTGCCAGTTGCAGATTTTCCCCGTCTAGAGGCAGCTCTCTAAATGCCAGGGTCGTTTTGTGCTACTACACCGAAGAAGTTTACTGTCCTGATTGTTTATTTATTTTTAAATAAGCGATCGCTTCTGTACCAAAGCAGCAGGCGCTGCAGAAGGATTGGTTTTATCGGGGTTCAAAACCCGCTGTGAGTTTCTCACATTCAGTGAGGATGGTAAATTACAAGTCGGACTTCAGCTGCGGGAGGGGTTTCTTTGAGGCTGGCCTCACAGTTGGGTTATTTTCTCCCACTTTTGGAGTGGGGAGTGCAACTCAGGAATTTGATTTTTTATTTTAGTTTTTGCCTGTTTAAGAAAAATCATAGCTCCCAAGAGAGAAAAATTATGAGTAGTTGGAAGACTCTGCCTGGCAGTAGAAGACCCAAAAGTATATGAGGAAATTTTGCTTCCTGATGTAATCGACAGCTGTGGGACTTTTAGGAGAGTTTGAACACAAAAGAGAAAGTCTTCTGTATCTGTCAGAGAGTGTGGAAAGGAGAGGTGTTTAAATAAGGTGCCTGAAAAGTGTTTCGATAAGGTGCCTGAAAAGTGAATTTTTAAGTATCATAAAGTTGGTTCCTGTTGGATTAATTGAAAGTGGATACTAGTAATAATTACATCCCCATGACTCTACATGGGACAGAACATGGATGCGTTAGCATGTAGGAGCTGTTTAATTGCTGTTTAATTTAATGTGGAAATGAATGTAGAAGTAATTTAACTTTCTAGGCATGGAAAACAGTCTTTTCCAAGAATTTGCAAATAGCATTGAGTAAAGGGGCAGTTAAAATGTGGCTAATTCTTTACACAGGAAGGTTTCTTGCAGCATGAGGTGTGGACTGAAATTTGTATGTGATAGAGCTGAAGTGTTCTGCTCTCTTCACATCCATAAGTGTGAGAGATGGGACAGTTGGGGATGCCCTTGCTGAGTGCTGAAGGCCTGCTCTCTGCCGTGGGGCTTTGGAGCTTGCTGTGTTTCCTGGGTATGATGCTTCCTCACAAAATGAGCTACACTATTTCCTATCCCAGAGAATGGTTTGAAAAGAAGCCAGAGGGTCTGAGCGGCACATGTACACAAACTACAAAGATGGAGATGAAACAATGGCAAATGATGATGTGTCACATTTTGAAGGAATTTTATCAGGGAACATGTTATGTATTTAAAGTAAATTGTGGTTTTCCTGTCATGTGTGACAGATCATGTACATTTTTCTCTTTATCCTAGTTTATTCACTTTGTGTGCAGCAATTCTTTATAAGGCAGTTTTCTCTGCCATGTGTGGCAAATTTGAATCCACAGAGGAGCAGAACACACAGGAGTGGTTTTGAATATTATCACATGTTTTTAATGATGTGGAATTAGAAAGGTCTGCAGGGAAGATTTCTCTGGCAACTTGTAGAGTACTTTGGCTCTTCAAAACGTCATGACTCGAATGTGTGCTGCTCGTTGCCATGTTTCAAACTCACTTACAGCACCAGTGCAAGTCAGCATACCCAGGCTGTAGTTCTGGAAAGACAAAGCATTCTCTGGAGCTGCACAGTCACCTTTCCTGGACTGTAAATCCTGAGCAGTGTCCACACAACAGGCGGGACTCCTCTGGAGTGGAGAGTATGCTGGGTTTCCAAGGGAGATGCTGTGACATGCCAGTGCCACAGCTTGTCAGTGGCATTTGTTCTCTCCATTTATGTTTGCTGCTGCAAAGTTTTATGGAAACTTGTGGTGTTTTAATAGGAATTCATGTTACTATGTGAAATTAGAGGCATTCGGTATTGAAGGATGCAGCCCTTAATTTTGAGCAGTCTGGGTTGCATGAATTTTGTTCTTGTTCCCTAGAAGGGCAGAAAGGGATCACCAAAATTGTACCTCCTGTCTGTTTTACACTTGTCCTGGGCTGACTATATGATGCTTTTATCCCCAGTCGTCTGTTCTGTTTCTTCTCCAGGCAGAAACTATGCTGTCTTAGGCTTAGTGTGGAGCTCAGTACATTTTTCTGTTGTAGTTAGGACTGCCTTTTACCCAGCAGTCTAGGCAAAACTGTACTGATAGTGATTACTTGCAGAAATATCATTACCCTCATCCTGTTAGACTTTTGTGTTGTAATCTTATTCCCTCTGATCTTTTGAAAGCTTTTTAATAATTCATTTATGCAGTTGTATTACAGTACATTATTATTGCAGCATAATTCCCCTCTCAGTGATTAAACAAGTATTTAATGCGCGGATGGAAAAAGTTCAGTTTCTCTGCTTTGATAATCCAATGCTTCTGCATTATTTCACATCTTACTGATGCTGATAGCCTACTTTTCTTTAACTTCTATACAGTAAGTGATGCTATAGTGATGAAGTAAAAAACGTCCTTGCATAGTTTTAAATCCAAAACCACAAGTCTTTGGTCTTCCATGGAGTTCAACAGTTAAGCCACAACAAATTAGGTTCAAGACATCAGGCAGAGGCAAATTGCACAGTGACAGCAAATGAGTAAGTTTTCCTCCAGGCATTTAATTTGATTATTTAATGAGTTGTGCTGATAACCATAGAAATGGGGGCCTGGTCTTCTAGCATTCTGTGTTGCAGCATTCTTAGCTGCAGCATTCTTGGCTGCAGATGTTAAACTGTGAGACTTCTCGGAAGCATAGGGCTAGCAAAGCCCTATGAAAGTCCCATATCTGGGAAGTCCCACATCCCAATATGGGATGTGGGACTTCCGAGAAGTCTCACAGTTTAACATCTGCAGCTAAGCTGTATTTTTGGGTGTTTCTTATCTCTTCTACCTGCCTTTTTTTTTTTTCTTTTCTGCTTCACTGTAGAGTGTGAGGAGGCTTGGGTTAGCTTCAGCTCTGAATTATCAGGCGTCCAGCACCTTTTGTGCTGTCCACAGGCTGTGCAAAGTGCAGGCATGAAGGTGTGCACTGAGTTTCCAGTGTCTCAGTCCCCTTTTGTGGACAAGGGCAGATGTTTCTCAGAACCTGTGGTGTCCAGGTATTGTCCATGTTGTCAAGACCTGGCTCTGTGAAGGTCCAAAACCCCACTGCAGTGGCTTGTCCTGCGGAAGCTCTAAGTCCACTGCAGGCTTGTGTACAAAGAAATCTGTTGTGTAAGAGAATAAGCTTGCTTCTGAAGTAAAGGTGCTGCTGAAACTAGGCCAGATTTCTGGTGTAGTTCTATATGTGCTGGGAGACCGGGAGTTTTTTGTGTTTTGTTTTGCTTTCCTTTCAATTGGAAGTGTTTCAGTGCGTGTGTCTCAGGGGTCCATGGCCTGAGGAAACTCAAGCAGCCACGTCTTAAACTGCAGCTAATGAGGACAGCTGAGATGTGCTCCTTCCAGAAGGGGATGAATCCAGACAGCTGCCTGCTTAGGCAGGATTTTTCCTCTGTGACTTTGATGGTATAGGCAATGGAGGGAAAAGTGCTTCTAAAAGGGTTGTCTAACTAGACCTAGCCTGGAAGCAGCTGGAACAGGCTAATTGCTTTGTTAAGCAGCTTAGTTAATGAATGGGATGTAGTCACTTCATGTGTGAGTGGCTGGGACTTTGGGAATGAAGAGCAACTCTGGGTAAGGAGGAACTGGATTAATGCATGTCATCATAACTTCTTTTAATTAAATGTATTCAGACTGTCATTTCTTGGGTAGAATTCAAGTATCCCAGCAGATCTGGCCCTTAGGGTATGAGTTCTTATGGATTGTGTTTTACATGGATTTGTGTTATTTGCATGGGGCTTTTGTGTTTCCCAGTAATTTGAAAAAATAAAATTGGTTATAGTTGGTGTTTCTTCTGTGTATGCTTCCCCTGTTGCAGCAGGGGACAACAATGTCAATAATGCTCTCTTCCCCTGCTAGATTCTGACAAGTGATAAGATTTCCAATCTTACCCTGCTTGGAATGCCTTATACGACAGAGCACTTCATTCTCTTCAAACCCTTTGAAATTCTGAAGCTGCAGCTGCAGCAGCTGCTAAAGCTGGTGCGACTGAGATGCTGTTACTACAGATAATCAATTTGTGCTCTCTTCACCTTTGTGTATTTGCAAGGCTCTGTGTCCAATTTCAGGTGGTCAGTTTTTTGGGTGTGTGAAGATCACACTCCTAGATCAGAGTACCACGTGCTGGAGACCTAGGTCATGGAGGGTTCCCAGCCCTTGTGGGACTGGGAAATGAACGGTGTGCGGGACAGTCAGTCTTTTATATGAATAGTGACAAAATGTTTGAAAATAAGAATGTTTAGCTTCTAAACTGAGTGTTACAATGGAAGAATAGAAAGTCCAGATGAGGAATGTACTCCATGGTAGTCTCTGCACTGCCTGTCAACAGGATGCTGTGGTAAATTGCTCTCACTTTTGATTTTTCCTTTAAATTATGTGAGATCTGAACAGGCTAGCACTCACTCTAGTTTTGTTTCTTTTTTTTTTTTTCCCTTTCTCTCAGAGCAATTTTTGAAGACAGTGCCAGAATACCATGTGGTTCATCCGGCAAGAGTAGATGCAAGTGGGCATTTTCTTTCTTTTGATCTACACCATCACATCTCAAGTCTGAGGAAGAAGAGACATCTCGGAAAAAGTGAAAATGTGGTATATTACAAAATCAATCACAAGGAGAAAGATCTATTTTTTAACTTGACTATCCACATGGGATTTCTTTCCCATAACTACATAGTAGAAAGGAGACGTGGCAACCACACCAGAGCAAAGATTTCAGCTCACTCAGGAGTTCCTTGCCACTTCCTTGGCACAGCATGGCAGCCTGGCTCCGGCAGTGGGACAGCAGCGATCAGCACTTGCAGTGGCCTGGTAAGTGGTCTGATCTTTACCGGGGTTCTGGGCTATTTCTGGTGTCATTAGAGCTGAGCTGGTACGAATATGTCTGCTGAGAAACTGGATGAGCCAGTCTGATGCCTTACTAACTTAGAAAGAATGTTTAATTCTATGGATGGTGTTTGGGTTTTTTGAAGAATCAGAAAGTCAAAAGATGATGCTGAGACCCCTTGGCATTTATTTTTAGCTAGATTTTTTCTTTTTTTTTTTTGGTGATCTGGACTGAAGGTTTCTGTCAGTCTCATAGGTTGAAGCCATCCAAATATCGAGTCATTGCTTTGATTCCATTAGCACTTGGATTGCCTTAACAATGCATCTGTATATGAGCTTCTGTTCTGTTTTCCTCTACAAGGAATGTAGCTCAAGTACGCTGAAATTGCTCTGTGAATCACACCCCCATGGATGATAGGTTGGGAAAATGCAATTGTTCCCTTATGAACTGCGCTGCAGTTTCAGATATAAATGATAGGTTAGATGCAACCTTAGCAGAGCTCTGAATTCAAGTGTTAACCACTGCTAGGCATCTCATGTCAAAGAGAGCTTCTAAGGCTGGAGCTTGAAGTCAAATATTTCTCAGTATCCCGTGGTTCACACTGAGACAAGGAGATGGACATCCTTTTCTTTTCCATGCTTTGTTTTTTTTTAATCACAGCCATAGCTTCAGTTTCTGTTTGTGCTAGAGCATGAGGCTGAGTATGCCTTTCTGGATGAGAAGAAGGAAAAACTGCCTGAGTGTGAAGGGGATGTAGCAAGGTGTGTAAAGTGGCACGTGTGGTGTGTGAGAGACAGAACCCAAAGGGTTTGTGGAATGTGTGGAGGTGATGGTGAAAGGCGTGCAGCGTGCATGTGCTCTCCTGCCTTGACTCCGCGTGCCTGGAGTGCCACATGGCAATGTTTGAGAGCCCCTGAAGCAGGGGACTGATGCCTCGTGTCCTGCACATCTCAAATCTGCAGCAGGCTGGGGACTGACGCTTCATTTCTGAGCCTGAACGCCAGGGTGAGTGAAGTGTGGAGTGTAACCTTTCCCTGCTAGCCTGTCAGTATCAAAGTGTGTTCCTTGCTGTTGAGCTGTGTGAAGCTTTCAGAAACTATGGAAATTCTTCTGGCAGTGTGCGAGAAACAGCATGAAGACAGTGCTTGTATATATGAAATAGGAAACTCTGGCGTTTTCGAAAGTGCTGATAACACATTTGGCATGTTTCCTGGAGAAACAAACCATTGCTTGAGGCCAGAAATTTCAGTCCCACAGGTATGAAGATTCAGGGATTTTATTTTCTGAGTTGCATTTCTGGTGGGGACCAACTTATCAAAATTTCTCCAAAACATGTTTCGGTTATACAGGGTCAGTAAATAGAAGGATATATGGTGATACAAGTAGTTCCTTTTGTTGTTTTGTGCTTTACCAGAATATCTTTGTTATTTTTCATTAGGATGAGAGGTTGAAAATGAGGTCTTCATTATATCTTTGTAAGTATTTAGTCTGCAACAAGAACTAAAAAAAATGCAAATGGCATTTTACATTCAGCCTGGTAATATCCTTTAAAGTTATCCTTCCATTTGTGTTACAAAGTTTTTTACTTTTATTTTCACTTGTAGGTTTTGAAAAAACACTTGTATCAGAAAAATCGCTATTGAGGTTTTGTGTTCCCATCCTGCCCCAAAATCAAACTTTGTAAATATATAATCACAAATTAATTCAGGTTGAATAAATGAATTTTGCCTCTGGATAAAAACATGATAGTTTTGATGTGGTGATTTTTGAAGTGCAGAAGTTGCTGCTCTGAAGAGGGTGCAGTAAGAGTTGGGTCTGTATCTTGATTCCCCTGAGTGCCACAAGCTGGAGAAAGGTAGTTTAGCTTGCCTTTCCCCAAAAGTTTTCCAAAAGATCTAGTGTCATATGAAAACATCTACTGATGAATAATTTTATCAGCAATGAGAAATAAAATCTGATTTTCATAATAAAAACATAACATTTCTGAAACTTTTTTTTGTTTGTGGTTGTCTCCACATTTCTGAGCTCTAGTGCTGATTTATTTTTATCCTGGTGATCCTCAGTTTTTTGCTTTTCAGCGTCAGGTCTATTTCTGTCTTTTTTTTTTCTTTCTGGGATGAGTTGTGTTTTTCTATTAAAAATGTTTTTTCCATTTACTTTTGTGAAGGAGGGGAGGAGAACGAAGGAAAACTGAGAATAAGTAAACACCATGAAATTAGAGAAACTTGCTTCAGATACTAAAGTAACCTGTGGAGTGAGGAGAAATGAATTGCTTATTTGCTGTCGTAAAACTGCTGGTATGCTCAAACCTTATAACCCAAGAGCTGGTGAAAACCAGTACCTTAGCTTTCAAATACTGGGAGCAGGAATGTTAGTGATGCTCCTTTCCTGATACTGTTTGGTCTTGACACTTTAGGTTCATCATCAAATTAAAACCTACTGTGCTTTTGTTGCTGAGGCATTTTTTAATAAGCTCAGTGAAGCACCAATTTACCATGGTAATGAAGGACAGGAAACTCCGTGATCCTTAAACTTCAAATTTTTGGCTTTCTTGGTAACTGGAGCTGGTAAAAAAAAAACCAAATTGGAAAATACTGATTTGATTAAATAAATATGTTTTATGGAATATCCTCTTGGCTGTCATTTTTAGTCCCAAGTGGTTGCATTATTATTTTTTTTATTTTGCCCAAGTGAATTGCTTAACAATATGTCCACCCCCATTTTACAAATGGTGACCTGAATTGGAGCAAAATAAAATCGTAAAGATGCCTGTGGGAGGGTGGTTCTAGTCCTCTTTGTGGAAAAACTTTTCATTTTGAGTCTGTTTGGTTTGTATTTGAGAACTTCTTAATTTCCAGGACAGTAGTGGTGTATAAGAACCAAAAAGAGATGTGTGCTGTAGATTTGTGTTTGTCATAAAAATCACTCACATAGTGCACTGAAAACAGAAAATCTAGAAATGTATTTTCATCTCCCTTTCATTTTCACTTTGAAATGTACTCATACTTCCCTTGGCATTACACAGGCATTGCTGATGTATTTTCTTATGTTCACAAAATGGCCTGCAAGGGAAATAACAGAATGATAGATGTGAGATATAAGGATGGGTGGCACAGTCATTGTGTTACATTATTCTTTTTTAAGAAAAAGTAACTATGTCTTTGTTTTCAGAAATATATAGGGGGAAAAAAAAAAAGATTCATAAAGGAATTTGGTCAGATTTGGGCATGGGGATACAGAGGATAATTATCAGAGATCTGGAGGAAATAAGATGTAATTTCCAAATCTATTTTTTCTTACACCTTGTGAAATCTTAGTTTCCTTTTCATGTTAAATAGGTCATGACCTTCTTGGCAGGTTGAAGAGCATGATGCTGTAATCTCTGTGTCTTCCTCGATGGGTCAGTTGCTTAGTAAAGTCTTTTGCACTTCTGGACCTTTTTGAATAATGCATGTCTTAACATGGGCAGAGTGGGACAGACCTCGCTGTTTATTTTGGGTCACACTTGGATGAGGGAATCCCGGAGGGGAAGTCACTACTAGAGCACAAGAAACATCAAACTGTGGCACTTGGCAGGGGAGCAGACATGAAATCACTTAGAGACAGGAAAATTTCCAAGATGAAGTAAAGGGAGAAATTTATTTGTTTTTATATCTTTGAGTGAGAATGATGTTTGGATTGGCTGTCATGGCAGACTATTTAGGGCACTCTTCTAATAATGCTTTGAGTTTTCCCAGTGCCTTTCCACAGAAGGCTACAATGAACTTTCCCAACATTAATTTCTTAATTATCAGTTGTGTGTGTGTGCTAGTCCTGAGAATCCCTTGTGTTGGAGTAGTGGTGTCAGCTTGTCCTCTCAGTAGGGCTGGGAGCGAGCAAAGCCCAGTGAAGTTGAATGAATACCCTAGGTTTATCTGCACCGAGTCCTACAGAGATGGGAAGTGAGTTTTCCTCTGATAGTCTATCCTCTTCATTAGGAACAAGGCCCTCTTTTATCTCTCAGTAACACAGACATTGTTTATAGTGTTTTTAGATGACAGAGCATCATTAAGGCTTTGTTTCCTTGACACTTGTTTACAGAGCAGAGCTGTCAATCAACAGTTGCTTCGGGGGTATGCATTTATCTTCAAAGGCAGTGCAAGCATTAGCATGGAAAAGGGAGGAGAGTGGAAGGACATGAGTATGGAAATCTGTGCACGTGTATCTGGCAAGGTCCTGGCCATACAGGGCCTGTGGGCAGATCGTGCTTTGGCTGTCTCCAGCTAGTCAGAGGGTTGCCTCTGTCCTGGCGGACATCACTGTTTTTAAGAAGTGCTGGGTGCCTTTGAAAAAATTTTTGAAAAGTTTCCCCCACCTCCGTTCTTCCCTCTGTGCTGAGCCACCGTCAGGACAGACCTTTGTGGACCTTTAATTGGTGGCTGTATGACTGTTTGTGTAGCAGATGGTAGGAGGTGCTCCAAGTGGGACCTCTCTGGGCACATCTTTGTCCTGACACCTGTGACAAGCTTGTCACTGAAGCTGAATGGTGACTGAATTCTGCTTGAGTGTAACAGTTCTCTGTTGCGTGATATCACCTTTGCATGAAGCCCAGAATGAGCTCTGGTACTCATCCAGTTCCACCTGTCTTCTCAGTGCAGCTTTTATCTTTTGAAGACTTGCATCAGTTTGGGGGAATTCAGCATAATCTCTGTTCTCCTGCTACATGCCAATAAGCTTTTCTAGTTAATGTGAGATGCTTTTTTTTATGTTGACCCACATGTTGCTGTCTTATGATCCATCCCAAGTTGAACAGTTCTGTGCAGGTATCGTAAAAGTATTTTAGTGATAGTGGGCTCTGTGACAGTGGTCTAGTACTGCTGTTTAGACTTTCCTCTCCTATAGATACAGAAAACTTCCTTCAACGTGTTGAACTTGGTATTTTCCCTAGATGAGGTTTGAGAATAAAAGAATCTTTAAAACAGTTTTATAATATTTGTTCTAAAGT